AACTTTTATTTAAGAAGACAAAACAAATCAAACTTCAGTTTTACAAATTTCTTCTATCTATGAAAATTGAATCATATTTGATATTTTGTCTGTCGTAGTTATTATTAGATTGCTCTTTATGATTTTTTGTCTGTTTTCTATGTTTAACAACAATATTATCTATCATTCATGTTAATTGTATTTCAAACTCATCAGCTTTGTATTTTCTTTAAATACTTACACATGTATCTTTACACTAGGCCTGTAGTTTGTGTGACTGCAGCACATTTCTTAATTAATTTCTTAATCTTGATATCATAGTAGTAAAATATGTTTCATTGATTGCTAGGAGTAATTGAAATTCTGCCAATATTGACATTCACAACTATCGCTGAACAGAGAATTTTATTTGTTCCATTCCTTCAAGTCTGATACAATGCTGGAGCACCTGCAAGAATGTAATTATAGTATGTAATCGGATGTCATGTTTGTGTTGATTGCTCACCAATTCCTTATTCATGGTATTAAAGGTTGGCTTTTGTGGATAAATTTTTTAACAAAATATTTTGTTAATTTTTAGAAAAAAATAAAATTTACATTTTAGAAAATGTCGGCTTAAATTTCCAATTAATTTTGAGATTTTTTTAAAAAGAAAATATGTTTGTCATAGTAGGTGCTTATTACTTAAAAATAGTTATTCTAGCTTCATAAATAAAATGTGTGCTCATAGCTATGAAATCTTTTCATAGGCGTTTGAATGAAAATTCATTTGGGGAAAGCTCGTCTTCTGTGATTGATAATAACATATGAAAGTTTAAAATTTCAAGCGACAGATGAACACTTTTATTTGACTCATAATCTGTTATAATAATAAAAATTGTTGGCAAACCTGTAATTATAGTTTGCATTTGCAGGGAGAGGCTTGAACACCTAATTATGGAGGGAAATTAAAAATCGGGGCAGCATAAAAGATTGTACTGATTTACTGGCTAGGCTACTAAGCCCCAACAATAGATCACAATATGCTTTTTATACCTGGGTTTGAAGCAGCGAGGCTCGATGGATAATTGGACAGGGAGAAAAAGTTAAGATAGATACCGAACGAATCAGCAGGGGTTTTATGAATAAGTCCATTCTAAATATAGCCTTTATCAACGGTGAATTGGGAGGGAAATCACCGCATTCTAGATTTATCCTAATTGCAATTTTAGAATTTGCCTTACAGTGAAGCTGAGTTAATCTGGGTTTGGTAATCCCGTATAATTGTTGTCCTAATTTGTATAATATGGAAGATCAGAATTACTTGTAAGAGATATTCCTGCTACAGTAATCTGAATTCCCTTATTCCACACCATAACTGTAGAGAAAATGGAAAACGACACACTCGTACATGAAATACCATCTTCATGCTGTTTGTCTTAATTGTGCACTAATTTATTTTTATTTTTTCTGCACATGTACAGAGGGATTAGTTTTCTGTTTTATACAGATTATGTTTTTAATTTAAATTTTACTGATGAAATCTCGTAATTTTGAGTATAAAGGGTAAAAAGAATGCATCTTATCATTAATTCTGTAATGATATTCTACTGAGGGCAGTAAAACAGTTCATTAGTTAGGAAATTGAGACAGGTTTTTCTGGTTTAAATGTGAAAGGAACAGTTTTTATTTCAATTATCTCAAATAGATGAAATTTCAGATATTTTATTATTTGTAGAAAAAAATTGCAAATAATTTTGATTAGCTAGAAATTAGGATTCAAATGAAAAGTATAACATAATTCCTGATGTATGTGACACTTGGTAATATAATTGTGATTTTCCTGTTAATGTTTGCCTTGAAAAATGATGGGGTTACGGCTGTAAACGGCTGCGTTGGATTTGCCTGTGTCAATACATGGCATGCTACCTAAATCACATCTCCTGTGCTCATATCGTTTCGTGTCTCGGAATGTTTTCTGCAACGTAATGAAAGAGTGAAACAACACTGGGTTAAACAGCAACAACAGATCATTCAGCTAATTAGCTTGAAATTCATGAAGACTGTGTAAATGTAGACGACAAGCATTTGAGGACGTTGGTAACCATTGAAGGACGGCCAACAATCGGGTGAGGGTCCTGTTACAAATGAAAGACCAGAATCTCCGTATCTACACAACTGCACTCTATTGATTTGGTCTAGCAGGAAAAAAGCGAACTTTGAGACCGTTGGGGAAAATTATCGGAAATGACTCTATCAATTTCAGAGGATAAACATTATGTTGTCAAGGGGGCTATTTTGTCTTCCTGCTATAAATCAGTTTGATAGTTTTACAGAGCTTGTGCTGTAACTCTGTACAATATCTTCCCTACAATAAATCCAGACTGGCCGATTGCTTAAATTTACAGATTCTATCATGGTTGTGAAACAAAAAGTTTAGATTCCATGAAAAAAATGTGGAACATTTATTTAATTCTGATTCTAATCATTTCTGATTTACATAAACAATTCATTTAGTCCTCAAGTCAATACAAGCCCGATTAGGCCAATGCTAAATATTCCCCTGTTTGTAGGAAGTGGTTGAATAAATTAAAGGTTTACGTTCGTAAAAGTTGTGATTTCTGATCTTCATTATGGCATCTGTGTAACTAAAACCCTAACAGGTATAAATTAAATCACAAACTAACGACTAGCTTGGTGTCTGTCTCACCAATAACATGTCTTGTGCTCACCCACTGAGGCTGGAACAAGGCTAGGATGTAGGGAAGAAGGAGTATCTGGGGCAGGCTATTAGGTTCTCAGCGGGCTGCTCGTGTAACAACCCTAACTGGAGCAATGCTTTCCAATCCCATTGTTCATTCTCAGTCAGTCAAGCTTTGGAAAATAATTGTTTGTATAAAGCTAGTAGGCTGCTCACTGGGATTCATTTAAAATCAACATGTTTAAATGTCAGCCATATTTAAATTCTAATATCTATGCAGTTTTTTAAAATGCTGTTGGAGTACAGGTACAGAGTTTACGAGATAATAATAATCTTCGGCTATAGTCTACTATAAATATCTCAAACAGCTTCGAATATGGTCATGTGTATCTAAGTCTTTCTTGTGAGGTCAGAAAAAGTGAGAAATTTCTTTTTTACTGAAGTGTATAATGGCCATAAATTCATTTTATGGTTCACCAAAATTGACATGAGATTGGCGTTACTGTGTCATTATCTATGTAAACCGATGCTTGTCAAAAGTCAGAAAGGCGGACTTATGACACCCTGCTTATTGAATACAATGGATAGGAGGTGCCCGTAGCATACACACTGTGATACCCTATACCTGTCAAGATTTGGGGGTTAGCAAAATAGATACAATCTATACCAGGTTACCTCCTTACAAAAAACACTGGCTGGCTTGAATGACTATGTAAACACTCGACTGCCGACTGTCAGATCCATTGTAGCTGGGATTTATATTGAGAAAAGATAGTCGTAGAGATAGGCCTAACGAATGGCATATGTTGAAAGATACTAGGATAATACTTATGTCAGAGTACAGGTCCCCTGGATAAAATATGGCTTCATACATGTTTGACACATTCAACCTTCCAATGTTTTTGATTAGCTAGGAATTAATTATCGTTGTATGATATATTTGATTAGATGTCATTCTATTTATGAAGGAGTTATCTCCCTTTGTTGTGTATTTTACTCACACTCCCATTCACGTGTACACAGTGTCTTATGATGTTTTTGTGATAAAATAGGAATGTGAGGAGGTAATTAGTAGGTAGACCAAATTGAAGTTGTCAGGGGAGGTAAGGCAGGTCATCTGTCACGTTGAACCTGTCACTAAGGTGGCACAATGCCAATGTTAGGTCAAATTCTATATGGGGTTGCTAGCCAAAGAGGCTGTAAATACTAGATACCATTGATTAAGTTAAATCAGGTCAGACCAAAAAAGGAATTTCAGCTTGAATAAATGATGATTAAGTAATATATAAGGAATAGTTTAGTTTCAATATGTATGAAATATAAAATGTATAATCATAGTTATATATTCATTAAAAAAAACCAAAAAAATATTTATGATAATTCATATTTTTAATTTATTTGTTGTCATGTTAATTTTTGATTTCGAAACTTAACAGGAAAATGCTTTTTTCTGTGAATTTTTTGGATCTCTAAACATATGTTAGCTTGGTAGCATTTAGTGATCTGGAAAGTAAAGGCAAAAGACAACGGCAGTCTCTGTGAAAAAAACAATTCACCTAAATAGTTCCCTATATTAAAGGAACTACAACATGCATGCACGTAATGTTCATGAATGATTCAATATATACTATACTATAGTAACCATACAAACCTTCATAGCTAACACGTTATTTCTACCTAAAAATATCATTTAGATGTCGTCTCCAGTGATGCTCAACAAAAACCTAACTTTCTGTCACTAATTTCTGGTGTAACCAAAGATCTACAACATAAACAATAGTAAATGTATACTTCCAAAATCTCAACTGTATGATGTGTTCTTCTTTTATGTATTCATCTTACATGTATCACTTGGTTGGTTGGGTGGCATAGTGGATAGTGCACACACCTTTCACCAAGGCGGCTGGGGTTCAATTCCCTCATCAGAGGTGAAAAGGACGTAGCACTAACAAGACTGATTAATATAAGTTGTAATAACTTGTTTCATAATTGTTGTAAAATGAATAAAGTTGATTTATGTATATTTATCACTTGTTATCGAATATAAAGGACTATCCAATGACTGGGATCCAGCTGTCTGTAAATGATACATATTGAAATTGAAAGCAGGTTTTACCTCAGGACAATTTAGTCCCTCTAGGACAATTTAATTTATGCTTAGGACAAATGCATGTATATTACATCATGTAACATAGGACAAATACATGTATATTACATCATGTAACATATGACAAATACATGTATATTAATTACATCATGTAACATAGGACAAATACATGTATATTACATCATGTAACATATAAAGCATTACTAAAACCTGATTTGTTCTTTGTCATTTCAGAAGAGGCCTGCTTGCTATCTACATGGCAAACGTGGTAAGTATGACATCATTGATGTCAGAATAATGGCTGCCCCAATCTTAGGCTATATCAATATCATCTAGTATATTTACAGACTTGTATTTTCAGCTTATCTTTAATCCATTTCCTGTTGAAAATCAGTTCATGCCAGAGATCCACTTCCTGTTTGAAAGTCATTTCCTGTTGGAGGTCCACTTCCTGTGCAGCTTTCATTCTCGTGTTTAGGCAGTATAAACTGGCTTTGGGAGAGTCTGGGAAATTTCACAGATTGTTTGCAGCTATAAAGCTTTTTGAGAAGCATGCAGTTCTGTGAATGCAAACTAAACCTATTGAAAATGAAATTTGGAATTTATTATAATAAAGGACCTAACTTATACCCTAACAAACCTCCCGAAGGAAAATATTTATTTACCGGTAATAGAATAAATATGGTGCTGGATTGAAAGACTTGCCAATTTAACAGATATTGTAAGCTGGTGTGTCAGGCGAATCATTAGGGGCCTTTTGCACCCAGTTTGTACACCCCCAATCAATAGTTCTAGTCAACAAGGAAAAATGTAGAGATTGAATGAATTGTAATTTGGGAGTATGCTAACTTGAGTATTTATATGCATAATGTACAGTAAGTTTGTGTAAAATGAGATAGGGAACAAAACAGTATTTTATTTAATGAAGGGCTTGGAGACAGGTTGTCGCTGCAAATGAATCATAACCAAGTCTCCAAGATCTGTGTAATAGTCAGAGAGCACAACAACCACTACAACGACTTGTAAAATAGTGTATTGTCGTAGTTGTGTAGAGTTGTATAGAGTTTAAACACCAGCAATTGCCATTTGGTTTTAAAAAACCCTGGAATAATTCCAGTGTTTAAATTCACAGTGGAACATTCTCTACTGGTTCAGCAATTACTTGAATGTACAAAACCTATGTTTCATTGATTTAGCACATGATGTATTGAGAGGTTTCAGGGGTAATTACCGTGCAAGTTGTGTGGTACGTTACACAAACAATCTTTTGTACCCCAGATTTGTGACAAATGGAACGCAAATATTTTCTAATGGAGTGCCAGCCCATATTGAAATGACAATATTTGATAAGACAGTGACAGGACTTGAGAACAGTTAGTATGGAAAGTTTGTGCTGGAGCTCTTACTCAAATGTGTGAACAGTGATAAGGTCAGCTAATTACGATATTTTCCCTCCTCTCCTTCTATTGATAGAGCAACAAAGCTTGTCAAAAATTATAGAAAACGCAGGACTGGAGAGGTTTGCTTTTAGTGGTTGTTCCGACCTTACACAGTAAGGGCAAGTCTTTGGAGGTCTACACTTTCTGACCCTAGAAGGTAGTCTGCAGTTGTCAGTGGCGCCAACATATTTTGTATAAAGAACCATGTTCTAGAAAGTACGAGTTAGGTGTTGACTGTGCGAAGGTCTGTCCTCTGTCTGCCTTTTGACCTCTATTTGTTAGTCTGGTATGACCAATCAATTGTACATGTAGATGCGGTAGTACCTTCTTGATACAAAAATTTAGGAACTTTGACAACTCTGATACCTTAAACAATTTTGAAACTTGGACAAACATCACAATATTTTTACATTCATTTTCTAGACTGCACCATATTGAAGTATCTCATATTGAAGACAGCAATAATTTCCATTCTCTTGCAGTTTAATTTTAGTCTGCTATCAATATGAACAGGCAGGATTTGCCTCCAAAACTTTTGACACATTTGAGTCAGACCAGAAATATGTTTTAGGAGTTATGTATGCAATGAAATAATTTATTTAATCTGCCAAGGAATTCTTTTATGGTATGATAAATTTCAGTGGGGTCGTGTTCTGTATAAAAGTAACACCCTATTAACTCTGATTCTGGGTATCATATCACCCAGTTCAGGAGCAGCTTTGGAGTCTGTCATATTTAAAAGAAAGAAGATGATATTGTTGGGACAAACTTGTCACCTGAGAACGAATTATGGGTATATTTTGTGTCTTTGTGGAGCAGATTTTCTTTCACAATAATCTCCTGCGAGTTTAATATGAAATATTTTTGAATGCATTTGATTCGTCGTGTTATTGATAAGATCTGACCTGAATCCTACGGTTGATGGCACATGTAGGCTTCTTTCTATTTCACAATAATTACCTGTATTAGTATCTTGAATAGACTTTCGCTCATCGCTCAGTGGCAGCAATATTTTTATACACCAGATTTTTATTAGAAAATATTTTCTTTTTTCGTGCATGACTGCTTTCTGCATGCATGTGCATACAGAATGTTTAAAGCAAAGAAAGGCCTTACTAGCTACACAAACAGCTTAGCATGGTAATTTGTAAATGCTTTGTGGAGGTACAAAAAGGTCTGATGATTAATGAGAGTATTTAAGGTTTTCAGGCTTAGAGTAATGGTCTTGGTACCTATTGTTGCATTGGAGTGTGTAACCTTCCCCCCTGTCTCTAATTCGTCTTTGACAAAATGTGACATCATGGTCGTGTTCTTACCAGGTATATTTATTTGTCATCTTCATGGAGAGATTTAGACTTTCGTAGGACTTTACTGGTGTGGGAGAAAATTTAGTCATTTTCTCAAAATAAACTTTAGTATTTATCAGTTAAGTTTGCTCTGAAGAATATAAAAGTTAAGATAATATTTGTGAAAAAAATATTAATGGTTTCTGAGGTGGCCTATACAGATATTGTCTGTGGTAGCTGTAGGGTCTCTGAGGTGACCTATATATATAGTGTCTGTGATAGCTGTAGGGTCTCTGAGGTGACCTATATAGATGTTGTCTCTGGTAACTGTAGGGTTTCTGAGGTGGCCTATACAGATAATGTCTGTGGTAACTGTAGGGTTTCTGAGGTGGTCTATATATATATTGTCTGTGATAACTGTAGGGTCTCTGAGGTGGTATATATAAATATTGTCTGTGGAAACTGTAGGGTTTCTAAGATGGCCTATACAGATATTGTCTGTGGTAACTGTAGTGTTTCTGAGGTGGTCTATATAAATATTGTCTGTGGTAACTAGGTTTTCTGAGGTGGCCTATATAGATATTGTCTGTGGTAACTGTATGGTTTCTGAGGTGGCCTATATAGATATTGTCTGTGGAAACTGTAGGGTTTCTAAGATGGCCTATACAGATATTGTCTGTGGTAACTGTAGGGTTTCTAAGATGGCCTATATAGATAGTGTCTGTGGTAGCTGTAGGGTTTCTGAGGTGGCCTATAAAGATATTGTCTGTGGTAGCTGTAGGGTTTCTGAGGTGGCCTATATAGATATTGTCTGTGGTAGCTGTAGGGTTTCTGAGGTGGTCTATATAGATATTGTCTGTGGTAGCTGTAGGGTTTCTGAGGTGGCCTATACAGATATTGTCTGTGGTAATTGTAGTGTTTCTGAGGTGGTCTATATAGATATTGTCTGTGGTAACTAGGTTTACTGAGGTGGCCTATATAGATATTGTCTGTGGTAACTGTATGGTTTCTGAGGTGGCCTATATAGATATTGTCTGTGGTTACTGTAGGGTTTCTGAGGTGGCCGATATAGATATTGTCTGTGGTAGCTGTAGGGTTTCTGAGGTGGTCTATATAGATATTGTCTGTGGTAACTGCAGGGTTTTTGAGGTGGTATATATAAATATTGTGTGTGGAAACTGTAGGCTTTCTGAGGTGGCCAATATAGATATTGTCTGTGGAAACTAGGGTTTCTGAGGTGACCTATATAGATATTGTCTGTGGTAGCAGTAGGGTTTCTGAGGTGGTCTATATAGATATGTGCTGTTGTAGCTGTAGGGTTTCTGAGGTGGCCTATATAGATATTTTCTTTGGTAACTAGGGTTTCTGAGGTGCCCTATATAGATGTTGTCTGGTAACTGTAGGGTTTTATGAGGTGGCCTATATAGATATTGTCTGTGATAGCTGTAGGGTTTCTGAGGTGGCCTTTATAGATAGTGTCTGTGGTAGCTGTAGTGTTTCTGAGGTGGTCTATATAGATAGTGTCTGTGGTAGCTGTAGGGTTTCTGATGTGGCCTATATAGATGTTGTCTCTGGTAACTGTAGGGTTTCTGAGGTGGCTTATACAGATATTGTCTTTGGTAGCTGTAGGGTTTCTGAGGGGGTCTATATATATATTGTATGTGATAGCTGTAGGGTCTCTGAGGGGACCTATATATATATTGTCTCTGCTAGCTGTAGGGTCTCTTGAGGTGACCTATATGGTCTGTGGAAACTAGGGTTTCTGAGTTGGCCTATATAGATTTTGTCTGTGGTATCTAGGGTTTCTGAGGGGACCTATATAGATTTTGTCTGTGGTAACTAGGTTTTCTGAGGTGGCCTATACAGATATTGTCTGTGGTAGCTGTAGGGTTTCTGAGGTGGTCTATATATATATTGTCTGTGATAGCTGTAGGGTCTCTGAGGTGACCTATATATATATTGTCTGTGGTAGCTGTAGTGTTTCTGAGGTGGCCTATATAGATATTGTCTGTGGTAACTAGGGTTTCTGAGGTGACCTATATAGATTTTGTCTGTGGTAATTAGGGTTTCTGAGGTGGCCGATAAAGATATTGTCTGTGGTAACTAGGGTTTCTGAGTTGGCCTATATAGATTTTGTCTGGTAACTGTGTCATGGTAGTGTTATAGTAGACATGGCTTTTGACCACTCCAGTTAATGCTAGAGGTAGTAGGGGTAATGGTCACACTTACAACAGGAGCTTTACCGTACAAATGGAGGAGATTATTTGTTGTTGGAATACTACACTATAATAAGTGTTATTTTAACATGTACCTCTACTGTTACAGCACATATCACAAGATTCTGTAAAATTTGTAGGTACATTAAAGATATTTATCGGAATCTCATCATTAGTGTATAGTAGTATTAATACGGTAAGTTTTAACAGTATGGCAATATCAATGAATTTCTAAACTTTAATGATATTAATAACGATTTTTACCGTTAAATTTAGATTGAGATATTTTGAGAAGCCATTGTAATGGATTTTTTTACACTGAATTTC